AGCGCGACGCAGCCGTCGACTGCGCGCCTCGCCTCGCCGGCGGCAAGAAACGCGCGCGACGCCTCCTCGCCGAGCCCGACGGCAAGCAGCGTCTCGCCGATCTTCAGCAGAAGATCCTTGTCGTGCTCGGCGTTGGACACGAGCTGGGCGAGGAGGTCGTAGTCCTCGAGCAGGTAGAGGATGTGGGCGAGTTTGTGCAGCTGCCCGCTCTGCGTGTAGTACTGCGACGCCTTGGTCCACTTCTGCCGGTCGGCGTAGTAGTCGCCGATGTTCTCCCACGCCTGGCGCATGTGCGACTCATCGCCGCCGCCCTCCTGCACGAGCTGCACGACGCGGAACCAGTCACCGAGACGGTAGCGCAGCTCTAGCGCGAGGTCCTTGCGGTCGATGTCCTTGTATACCTTCTCCGCCTCGTCAAAGCGGTTGTAGTAGGCGTATATCTCCGCCCGCTGCTTCTGCGGATCGTCAAGCATCTTCACCCGCTTCACGAACTGAATGGCTGGGTAGTCCCGGCAGCGGATCACCGCCATCTCCGCATTGTCGAAGTCGAGCTGCGCAAGGGCGTGCTCGGCGAGGAGCGCCCAGAGCTTGGGGTGTGGGTGGCTGTCAACGTACACGAATGCCTCCTTCATGCTGGACGTTTGCATCATCTGACGTGCGTCACGCAATGCGCGCGTCTCGTAGTCAATGATGTACTCCTTGCGGGGCCGCTCCGGGTCCTGCATCATCTCGTCCAGCTGCAGCGCCCGCACCTTGAGGGAGCGGAACTTGCAGATGTGTGCGCTTGACTGCAGCGGCTCCTCCGCCTCGGTGCCACGGAAGATGTACATGCGCGACTTCTCCAGCACGACAAACTGTTCAGGGTCGTCCTGCGCCCAGTGCACGTTCCACACATCCTTGCGCTCGAAGTCCGGTTGCGGCGCCAGCTTGCGCGGCACAAGCGAGAGTGCTGCGTGGTCAATGTGAAACAGCGTCATGACGCCGCTCACGTCGACAACGGCGAGGCGTGTGGAGTCTGAGTTGACTGCAATCGACTGCGCACGGCCGGGCAGGATGATCTTGCCAACGAGCTGCAGCGGGGCGAAGCGGTAGAGCTGCAGCAACCCTGACTCGCGTGCCACGAAGAGCAGCTCCTCGCTGAGGCAGAGCGCGCAGATGAGATCGTTTGTCATGGCGGTGTGGCCAACGAGCGAGGGTTGTGTGTCGGGGCGCACGATGTCGTCAATGTGCACGACGCGGTCGCGCGTCTCGCGGCGGCTTGCCTGCACGGAGATGGGGTCGAGCGCGTCAACCACAACGCTCGGGTCGCGGAACTGCCAGACGTAGATGTTCTCCTCGTCGGCGACCACCATGTGGGAGCTGTTCATGCCGCACACGAGCGGCTCCATCTCTAGCGTGCGCGTCTCCAGCGGGCTGCCGATGGCGTTCACCAGCTGTACGACGCAGTGTCGCCCGTCGTCGGGCGAGTTGACAATCATGCACGCATTCTTGCACGCCCCGATGTGGTAGAGGCCACGAATGTGGCGGATCAGGCGTTCGTTGCTGCGCGTGTTCCAGAACATAACACTGTCTTCCACCCGGTCGGGGCGATTGTAGGCGAAGACGACCGTCTTGTTAAAGTAGGCGTACTTGTACTTCGACCGCACGTTGGCGAAGTAAAGCGCAGCGTCAATCGCGATGGCAACGCGCAGCCCGTCGCCTTCCCAGGTGACGCCGCCACAGTGCTTCCCGTTCACGCGCAAGGAGCGCAGGTGAATGCCCTCCGAATTGAAGAACTGCGTGACGATTACGGACGACGCCGCCGGTGACGACTCTTTTCCTCCCTCTGCTGCTGCTGCTGCTGCTGGCGGTGTTGCTGTGGTGGAGGCGATGCCGCAGACAGCGAGGATCGTGCCCTGCGGGTTCCACGAGATACAGGTGACGGGGATGCCGGTTTCGACGAGGTACGGCCTGTTGTCACTGACGCTGTGCATCAGCTGCATGCGGCCCGTCCTGTAGCACACGGCCAGCATCGCGAGCGGCTCCGGCCTGTCGACCCAGGCGGGGTGCCACGACAGGCCGGCAAGCGGCGCCTCGCCCTCCTGGCAGGCGATGTTCACCCGGCTCACCACGTGCCCGCTGCCGCTGTCGTGCACGTGCACCTCGCCGATCTTGGTGCCGAAGAGAATGTAGCGGTCGTCCGGGCTCCACGTGACCTTGGCAAGTTCGTGCTTGAGGTCCTTGCCCCACAGCCGGTTGCCGTCGACGCCGCCAACAATGACGGCGCCGTCCTCGTAGATGATGCACACCCTCGTGCCGTCCGCGTTCCACGAGAGGTCGCGCACCGTGCTCTTGTTGCGGTTGTTGATCATTTCCTCCAGCCACATCCCCTTGTGCAGCATCCACACGATGATCTGCCCATTCTCGTCGCTCGAGGTGAGCTTGCGGTACTGGTGGTTCCACGCCACCACCGAGACGTCCGCCTCGTGCCCCTCGAGCGTCTGGTTCATCGCGAGGCCGCTCTTCTGCCCGTTGCCGTTGTCAATCTTCAGCACCTTCAGCAACCCGCCCTTGCCGCCGCAGGCGAGCCAACCCTGCTCCTCGTTCCACGCAATGGACGTGATGACGGTGCTCGTTGGTATCGCGACACGCTTGCTGAAGTAAGCATACATCGTTCTATTGCTGTTTCCACTTTACCTCTTGCTCTTACTACCGGGGGTTGGTGCAGCTGTGGCTCCTCTTGTTGTAGTTGCAATTGTTGTTGTTGTTGTTTGTACTCTTGGTTCCTCCCTGTCTCTGCCCTTCTCCTCTATTCCTTTACTAATGAGCCACTATGTATGCCTTGCGTGAGCACGCGATATTGAAATTGTATGCATGTGTGTGTGTGTGTGTGTGTGAGGGAGGGGGAGAGTGAGGTGTAGTTGTGGGAGTAGTAGCACGTAGAGAAGCAGCGAGGGAAGAAGCCTCAGCACGCCAACATCCCCTAGCAGGAGCAGGCGAAATACTAATCGTCGTATTGGTGGTAATAGTGGCAGCAGACGTAAAAAAAAAAACGCACCAAAAAAGATGATCCTTTCCACTCACGATGCATGGGCCACATCATCCCTTGTCGATGCTTGGGATGTTGATTCCGCCGTGGCTGTTTCCAATGCTTGTGTTGCCGATTGGCACGCCGCAGCGTCCTTCCCGAGGCGCTTGCAGCATTTATACCCCCAACGAAACTCGTCGCGGTCGAAGTAGCTCCCGTAGACGCACGCGTGCCCGTTGCGCGTCGCCGTCCCCGCGTGGGGGGGCCGCAGCACCGCCGAGAGGGGCGGCGCAGCGGAAGCA